GGGCATAGGGAGTGGAACTTTGCTACAAGTCGACATGGACACAAAACAGCCCTCCACGTCCAAGTATCTGTCACTGGCATGACAGTGACACTAAACAAAAGTTAGCATTTTCTTCTTTTGGTCTCCCCTTTAGAAAACTATTCATGCAGGATTTTTCTAGCTCTCAATGCCGTTTGGATGTTTCATGTAAATCTGTATCACAGTATAAATAGTATTTTAATCAGTAAACAATGTATAAAGATGTATATATTGTGTCGTTTATCTGTTTGTATAAAACACTGATTTTAATCAACACGTTTCTTCTAGAGAGGGAAAAAGCACTCATTTTGGTGTGTTTTATAACATCTCTGAGCAAACATTCACTCTTTTGACCTTAACTCTTGAGCTGAGCTGCAAAATATCTACAGCTCCCTTAATTAATAAGACATTTCACTTTTTATGATGTCAGTGTTTTGTTCGTGGGTGAGTTAGGTGGCTTGGGTTATTTTTAGTCAACTGATTGGACTTCGTGTACAGTTAATTAAAGGCAGCACCCGAACTGGTAGGTTTTTATGTTTGTGTGATTTTCATTTATAGAGACAGTGACTTTGTAAGGAGGAGAGTAGCCTGCAGCTCTGCACAGGCAGCACGCGCCTGCCTCCATGGTCGCCCTGTCCCACCGTCCTTGCTGTGCTCCTCCTGGAAACAAATGGAGTTACTGTGCACAATAACTAAACCAACATTTTACCCTCACGCGCACTCTCACTTTTTAATTTAGCAGAATCTTGAAAAACATGAAGCAGCAGGATTTTGGCATGCGCTTCAGAATGCACACAAATAAATCTTTTTCCGCAAATCTCCAAGGGTTTTAGGCAAAACTTTGTGGATGCCAGAGCAGAAAGCTAAAAACAATTTCGGGTTTGTTTGTTGAGCCAAAAAAGTGGATATCATGTCCAAAGTACAATTTAAAGCATTATTTTTTGTATTAAAGAATTCAGTAATGTGCATTTCCAACTCAGGAATTTGTCTGCCGAGTTTCCCAGGCATGGACTGCTCCTCCAAGTTTTAACTCTGAACAGAGAAAGCCAAGCAGAGCGGGCTCTAGTAAACATCACCGCTGCCGTGAGAGCCTGTCTGACTAAAGAAACGGACCATGGATCTGAAAACAACTGCCATCCGCACAGTTTTGTCTTTTCCCCCCAAATCCTCAGGACCCCTTCCTTCCTGTTAATGAGGAGGAGTGTCATCGTGTGACACAGGACACTTCAGATAGTACCTGTTTAATAAACATTTGTTGAAAAAAAATACTATGAAAACCCGAGATAACAAGTTGTGCATGCTATTGTTTTCTAATTGCGTGATTGCAGTAGGATCGACATAGAAAAGGATGAAGGCTTAAGGTCGACTGCTTGATGGACTTGGGGATACCAATGCCATAGTGTATGCTTGAGAATTTACTAAGAGGGTAGATCCTATGTTACGTGTGCTTGCTTTTCATGATTAATCTAGTTTTCCTGTTTATAAGAAAAACACAAGCACATTGGGAAAAGAATTGTTAAATATGGAAAGAAAAAGAGGAAATAGGAATCTCGAGCATCCCTCTGACCCCTAAGAAGCTCTCTTCTTCCTCTGTCGCCACAGTTTCCTGAACCCCTTTTTCTGGCTCCCACGCATTCTAACCGGCATCAAGACAGCCCCCTGTAAAGCCTGACCTTCCTGCATAGAGGGGGGTTCATCTCCACATGCTCCACTGCCAAGTCCAAGGGGCCAAGCACAATGGTTACACTGGGAAGGCACTCAGCAAATGTCTGCCTAGTAAATAATCTCATTATCCCAACTTTCCACATGCACTGGCTCACGTTTGAGGTGCCAGTGCACAAACAGGCCCACAAATGCACTTACACGTTCCCCTCCCTGCTTCTGGAAGAATAGAGGCATTCATACAAATGCTCTAAGGCCGCTGATGTTATTTCTAAATACCATGAAAGATTTCCATTCCATATTTATGGAATGTACATCGTCCATATTTGTCCACTTAGGTCTTTATTTGAACATCTGGTTTTCTGCCGTGAGCCTCCCTGTGGCTGGACGGAAGCCACTTTGAAACCTGGAAGCNAAAAAAAAAAAAGAACCTTAGAATCTCACACACAGGAAAACTACACAATTGCATTCATGGTGCCAATTCTAAAGATAAAGCAATATATAATTTTGGACCAACACATTTTAAATGTTGCTAAAAGGGACAGTTTTTTTACAAAATTTGGAATGGTCCAAATTTTGACTAAATTGACAATTGACTAAAGAAATGTAGAAAATCAGAATACACCAATATCTACGAAAGAAACTGAAAAATAACCAAACACATGTACCCACCTCCCACCAGTTCAACCCAAGAGTCCATGCCAGGAGATTTCCTGTGCTATTTAAATTGTTCCCCAAGCTTAGTCTCCTCTGTACTAATATTGATTGGCCAATCTCATTACAGCCAAAAATAAAGAGACAACGTTGAATATCAGATTTTGCAAACGAATTGCGGTTGTATCTTCTCAGTGCATCTACAGGACAGCATACATTTTTATTCATTCCTTCTGGTTTCATTTGGTTGGGGTTTTTTTGGGTGTTTTTTTTTGTAGCTTTCTGATTTGTATATACGAGTATTAACTTGTTTCCTTCCATTTTTGTGCTAGAGGTACATCATGGTATGGTTTTCCTCTGAACTTTAGTTTAGCTGTATCCCAGAAACTCTGATATACTAAGTTTCCCCTCGAATAGTTTCAGAAAATCTGCAGTTTTGTTTATTTCCCCTTTGACCCAAGAGTTGTTTAATAGATGGTTTTGTTTTTCCAGGTGGAAGCGCCGTTTTGTTTTTTATTTTCTTATTAATTCCTAGTTTTATTGCATTTAGTTAGTGAGGGTGGCTTGTATTACTCATATTTTTTGGAATTTATTGAGGTTTTCTTTGCAGCTTAATACATGGCCATTTTTTTGTGACTGTGTACTTGAAGAGAAGTCATACCCTCTATTTTAGGGGAGCAGAATGTGAAATATATCCACAAAGGTT